AGGTTTCTGGTGCTAAAATTATCTGGGGAACCAAAAAACTAGGCAGCTGGAGTTTTAGGGGAGTATCCCCCGCAGATATGAGACTCCCGGAATTTAAATTCAGCCTTTAAAATTACTCGGGAGCAACAAGGGTTAAGAAGTTGAAATTTTACGAGGATGTTCAATGTCTATGTACAAGCCAAACATTTCAAACTCAACTTTTATGTGCTTCTAGGTCTCACGTACGGCACGAGGGATTTTGGTGGGAAAATTATTAACTTGGTAGCCAAAAAAAAAAAAAACTAGGAGCTAAAATTTAAAAAGGACGCTCTATGCTCATGTGCAATTCCGAAGATTTTAGATTTGGCTTCCATATATGCCTAGATCCCACGCATGGAAAAATGATGATCGCTGCATATACTGAGCAGCAAAGCAGTGAACATCTTTGACAGCAGGCGCCCACTAGACAGAATTACACGAAATGCGTGGTTGCACCAGCTACCCTGGTGCGTGTCGCAAATTTATTTGGTCCTTTCGCGAAACGGCACCTTCGCAATTTTTTAAACCGATTTCGGATTCATTTTCCTTCCAGGAAATTCATTTTCCTTCCACTCCGGCATTTCATCGCGACTGTTGGTGGCGACGGTTATGGCGCTGTCGAAGCAAACGACAGCGAAACAAAGCCACTTCAAATCAAGAAGATTTCTCCTTTTCCCTGATATATTGATTAAAAAGTGCTGTGTTCTGTTCTTCGATTACCGGTTGGCAATGAGCTATATAATTGAACGAGCAAGTAGTCCTCTTTCGCATTCGATGGGATTAGCTGCGCTTCACATCTTCACAAATATCTCACAGTACCAAGAAAAAGTTTAAGATGACGATCGACGCGGTTCTGCTGATTTTCTGATTATGATGAATTAACTCGTTATGGACGTCTAGAAAAGGGCCCATTACAGAAATAAATAGAGTTATATGGTTTTGAGCTGGATAAAACATTCTGTGGATAAAGGCCTTAGTGTAAGTTGAACCTCGTGCTGAGTTTGTTGCGCGGCTCTCTGTTTCGGCACATCTTTATTCACTCTGTTTCAGTTATTCTTCTTTAAGTAAAGGTTTTTCTTTTC